AGGGGACATTTCATCGGTGATTAACACGCATCTCGATTTGAACAAGTACAGGGTCGAGTGTCATCAAAGAAAAAGGAAGCGCTCATGTCGACGTCGTTCGCCACCAAGTGTACTCCAAGGGTGATCACCCAGGTTCCTTGGGAGGATTCGACAAACTCGCAAGAGGCAGCGTTGGAGGTCTAAGAGAAGCTGAGGGTTTTCTAGAAGGTTCGGACGCTTATACATTGTATGGAGAAATAAAGCATCCTCGATTTTTTCGTAAAACCATTGCGTATGGCTTGCATGATTTGTATCAGTTTGAGCTCGTAGAAATACAAAAGATGATCAAATACAACGATGGGTTTCAATATTTAATGTTCACCGTCCATGTCTTCTCTCACAAGCTAGCTGTTTTTCCAATTCGAAAAAAATAAGACGGGATGAAATTGTGCGAGCATTTAAACTCGCGTTTAAAAAGCTAAAGCCATGCAAATTGCTTCATACTGACAGGAGTAGAGGATTATGGAGTAAGACAGTTAAGGCCTTTCTTTTGAAAAGAAATATTCGCTTGTACCGTAGGTACAGCGACAAAAAAGCTAGTCTCGTTGAACGAGTTCAGAGAACGCTAATGCGACGCATCTTGAAGTACATCGAACATGCAAAAGCGCGCCGATTAGTCGAGGTTCTTTCTAAGCTTGTAAATGCTTACAACAAAAGTTTTCACCGCACGTTAGGAGCACGCCCCATAGACGTGAACGAAAGGAACGGAAGCGAATTTTTCGCAAGGCTCTACCCCTTCGGGGATTTCGGGAAGCAGGTGGGGATTTTGAAGAATCGACATGCTTTGAAGAAATGCAAGCAGTCGTTCTCTGACGAGGTGTTTTTCGTCGAGAGAATAAAGCTTAGAAATCGTACAGTTTACAATATAGTAAATAGGGAAGACAATTGGGAGCCGGTCTTAAGCTCTTTTTTATGAATCTGAGCTTCGAAGAGTCCGAATAACGCGCAGTAAAGTTTGGTCTCTTGAAGCAATCTTTAGATAACGTCGCACGGCGAATGGAAAAGAGTACCTCGTAAAGTGGAGAGGATATCTAAGTTCTCATAACAGCTGCCATAAAGGACAACTACATCGACAAGAGCAAGCATATTAAGAGAGCTACGAGAAACCTTTAGACAATAGGGGTGTCAAGATGCCGTCACGATCACTTTCCGCGTGTCAGAAGTGACAGCGCGGTCTATCGATGATATCGCCCTCTGCCTGGAGCAAAATACACATCGTGAAAACTCCGATTTACTCGAAGCCTTCGACTGCACCTTACAACTGGTTCTGTCTGGAACGTTTCTCTACATCAGGAATCAAGAAGTCATGCGCTATGTCCGTCCAACTGTTTTACTCACATTACAAGGCAACCGTGGGCTTCGTATCCAATGGTCCATTTGGAATCTTGTGCGACCGTCTCTACTCAATTGACACATAAGTCTGTAGAGAAGTTGACATACCGTATGTGGTTGGTCAAGCACTGTGGCATCTATCATCTCTAAGTTGTATATGCACGTTAGGTACTGTGAGACTTTATTAAAAAAAAACGAAATAAATTTTCTGAATAAATGGGGTCTCCGACAATTAAGTGTCCCCATATCCCTTCAGACACGCACCTGTCTATGCACGCGTGCGCGTATGACGCAAGACTGAGAAACGTTTGCGTGCTAGAACCTGTCTGATTACGTGGCGTAGTGTGTGGCGTATCCGACTACCAACAAACAGGTCTTCAGTTCGACTGACACACTGCGCTACATGTTCATTTGTTTTGTTATAAGAACAAACATGTATTTTTTTTCACTTGAGAGGTTAAAACACATTACAGCATGTCATATCTTGTTTCGAAGAAAACCCGAATTCCTTTCGCACAAGTACTGGTATCGCCCGGTCATTCAAGTCGTGAACAGTCGACGATAACTTTCTTGTGCATTCTTGAAGCGGTACTCCGCGACACAAGAGGGCTTTGACATATAGGCAGTAGAGTCCACACGTTGCTGACGTTGAGCCTTCAATCCTTTTCTTGCTGTAGTAGAATCTTTGAACATTTCCAATAAAATCGTCCAATTCCTCGTACAAAAAAGAATAAAACACGTTTTAAAGCTATAAAAAAACAGCAGCTAATGTGCTTGGTTTTTGGGGAAATAAAAACCACGAACCCAATGCTCGCCCGCCGATTTTCTTGGAGCGGTGTTCACGATGTAGTGTCCTAATCTTGGAGTTTGCCTGTATCTTTCATCGCAGGCGAAGGCCCCTCTATAGAAATTGCGTGTGCAACGATGTCGAAAAAAGAATGCGTAAAACTCGAACTCTTTCATCACGTTACAAACTTTACCCCCCCCCCCCCCCCCCCCTCCCCCGTTAGGGTTAGCCTTACATTAGCAGTTAAAATGGGACGCAAAGCATTATTCTCACTCTCAGGATTCAGAGTGTAATACAAGAGAAAATGGTCTTTGGCAAATGTTCCTTTTGGAAAAGGAACATCCTTCTTGTTCAGTCGGTAAAGAAGGTTCATATACGCTTTCATGTATATGTCTTTTGGGAAATCATAATCTTCTCTCGTTTGTGCCCCTCCCACGTCCAAAACACTGGTGTTTAGGTTAAAGTGTTCGAACTTGAAGGGATCACGTTGGCGACTTCTCTGAAAGGCTTCGCTCTTCACCATGCACACATTCAGTTTGGAAGGAACACGATGAGAGTATAGACCATCAAAGACAATATGAGAAAGACCCGGAGAGACCGTTCTTGTTTTAATCTCAAGACCTCAGAGGAGGTACGTGGCTGGTGATGTGTGAAGACGCCTCTCGATGCCTAGCAAAACGCTGAAACCTGTGCTGTGCGAAGATATAAAATAATTTTCGGGAGGTGAACGACGTGTTTATGTGGGAGGATTGTTGCAGCTAAAAGTCTAAAGTCTTCGGTATTTTGTCGTAGGACAATACGGATGTCTACCCCCCAAAAAATTAGATACTTCGACTGTTCAACAATATCGACGAATAAGGGACTGAAAAGGTCACACAGAGCAGAACCTTCCGTCTGTTTATAACGTGCTGCGAGTCCTTTATCCTCAGATGGAATATCTACACGTTCGCTAATATGTATCGGATCATTCTCAAACAATAGAGCAGGTAGGGTGTGGCTTGTTGTCACCTGATTTGCATTGAGTAAAATATCAAAATAAGATCTGTAGGTATAATTTTCGTACTGACTGACCAACGTCTGGTTTAGAAAGACGCGAACATATTGGAAAAGAGAGGTTGTAAATGACTGTACTGGAATGACTTTATCGTGAGTATAAACGTTCCATCGACAGCGGTCGTGCTCGCAGGATAACCATTGGCACGTACAATCTTCCCCCCTGAATATCTAAAAAGCTAGACCTCAAGTCGAAAAAATGAGGTCCAAGGGAGGGCACATGGAATTCGATTACTTGATTGTGTGCCGAGACTGCAGGAAGAACTCGAGATATTCCGATTTCTCAATTGAGATGTTCGCACTTGGCACCGAAAAGAGGCCCAGCTCACCTGTCGTGCAAAAACTTGTCCTTTCATGTATAGTGAACATGGAATTCGACTACTTGATTGTGTGCGGAGACTGGGAAGAACTCGAGACCTGTCGTGCAAAAACTTGTCCTCTCATGTATAGTGATTAGTGAATATGTTCGTGGTCATTAAGTGTCGAGGAAATCACCTTTGCTTAGTTTGAAATGAGGGTGAAGGTGATATGTTTTTTTTCTTTTATGTTTTCGACTTAGCCCACTTCCCGCTAGCTTCTGTAAAAATTCGTCTTTTGTTGTTTTGATATGTGCGTCCAATACCCTTTTCTCATGGCATCCTGGAATGAGGAGCCCAGACGTATTTGCTCAGTAATGTGTTTACCGGTAGACACGAGCTTTCGACCTGGGTAAGTGTCACCTCCTTTAGTCATTAATCATTAGATATAAGCTTTGATACATAACGGTGAGAAATCCATTAACGACCCGGAAGAAAGGTCCGCTCACACAATGAGGCAAATGGTGCTCTCCACAACCAAAAAAAAATGTGACACGCAGCACGGGGCTTGCCTTACATACATCGTCTAAAATAGTCTGCAGGCAAAATGAAAAGATTGCTCTTCTTTCACCAAGCAGCTCCAACAAATGGCTGAAGCTTTCTGTACTGAGATCTCCTTATAACGGACCATTTTCGCGTCGTTTACGACTCATTTTTACTTGCATTTCCTGAAATGTAGGGTTTCTGCCACCCGACCCGATCCGTCTAAAAACGGTATCAAGGTTCTTTTCTCACCAACAAGTTCTAGGGAGATGGTGATGTGCTCCTTTACAATTACCCTCTTATATTGTAACAATTTAAATTAATGTGTTACCATTTCATTGCGTTTTGTCTCCTCAAAAGTTACGGGTCTTAAGAGAGGAGCTTTACACCACCAACGTGCTCTGTTTCGATGATATCGCAGCAGGCAAATAAGTAATTGCTTGGAAATAAGACGACGTCACGGTCTACTACAGAAAACGCAGTACACACAGTTTTCTGCCCAAACCAAGCATACGAGACAAATAAGGGCTCATTGTGAGATAGCCATTATGGTGCATTTGTAACTCTGCAACGTTTATATTTGGGGTTTATCACGAAGCGGTAGTCTGGAATGAGGGAGTTTAAGGTGAGATATGTATGCGCGGTTTGGTCGCGGCAATAGACCGATCTCACCAAGCGTTCCACGCATGCGTGACGCCGCCATAACTGTAGTTCGTAGGAGGCAGACGCCAGTTCACGCGACAGCTCATGCTGCCCCGTGGTCTGCTCGCGCAGACCTCCAGCAGGGTTGTTGCGCGTGCAGAAAGACTACAGCTCCCACAATGCATGTCGGCAGCGGTGGCGTACTCAAACTAGCTGTGAGATCGGTCTATTAGGTCTTCTGCCGATTCATAGAAGCCCTCGTGGACCTGGATCCGTTCCTGTTTCATGACATGTTTAACTCTCGTCAGTTCAATTTCAACATCCGTATCAAAGGTATCTTCGTCTACAGGGCGACTTTCCAAAGGTTGACCAATTCCGTACATTTACTCAGCAAAGCCGAGTTTGTTTGACAAGAGCGATCGAATGCGTTTCATCGCTCTAATTTGTTTCATCGTGTACCGAAATACACTACTAAGGCACTTAAATTAATTTGTAGCAAATATAGAAGATTAAATTCACTCAGAACTCTGCATAGCTTAGCAGAAGTCGAGCCACTCCAAACGTGTAGAAAAATATACACTCACCTTTTTATACAGCCTGATTAATGATAACTTTAAAATCGATAGGACACACTATGTCACTCTAAAACCAGTTAGGAGAACAAGAAGCTACCAGAATATCGATATCACAATGACTGTTTCAAGTTCTCATTTATCCCCCCAAAATGTAAAAGAGTGGAACTAGTGGCCTTCTGAGGGCTGTAAATGCAACATCTGCTCACTCATTCAAAGCACCACTGTTTTCAGTGTTTACATAAATTTTCGATCGCTTTCATGCTTGAAGCTGCTGACATGTTACGCCTTCATATTCGTTGCTTATCATTTTAGTTTTTTTTTTTTTCAGCGTCCACCTTAAACGATTCGCTTCAGCGTATAATGTAAAATATTTTCTCTACTTTTTTTAATACTTTAAGGCACTTTCGTGTGAAGTGCGTATATGTTTGCTCATTAATTGCGCCTGGTTATTGCTCTTGTTAGTGCTTGCTGGTTTCTGTATTATCAACTTTCTATTTCTTTGTGTTAAAAAAGTACTGCTTTTAGAGCTTGAAATTATATTGTCACAAATGACAAGTGATGAGGCCGCGAATACTTAAGAAACTAAACGTTTAATGGGGCGAGACTTACTCTGGCTCGCCACGTGGAGCACATTTTTGTACCCGCGTGTTTCTCTGGAACATTCGGCCTAGAACGTTCGGTTCGTAGAACATTCGTAACTGGATCGGACGAGAAGATTCTCGAACTAACAAAACGCCCAGTAGAAAGAATAAATAAAAGATTCCGCTCCCTGGAATCCAACCCGGATCTTTCGCGCGACAGCCAAGCACGCTAACCACTCGGCCATGCACGCGCTCGCTCGGCAACACGCGTGACAATATGCGAAGTGCAAATGTGCAGAAATAAGAGTTGTGGCGCAGACTAGCTGGTAAACGTTCAAACCTAAAAAAAAAAAAAAAAAACCGAAACAAGGGAAAAGGAAGGGACGAACACAACGAAGCCTCGAAACGCAACTGCAAAATTTATTCACAGGATGCAAATTTATTCATAGGACGATGGTTCCGTCTATATAAGAGGCTATTCCTGCGAATGAATTTTGCAGCTGCGTTTTGAGACTTCGTTGTGTTTGTCCCTTCCTTTTCACTCGCCTCGGGTTTTTTTCAAATACGTGCAAATGTGCCTCCTTTATTCATCGTAGTCTTTCCCTTTTTATTTTTTTTTCCCATTTTTTATGTTCTACTTTTAAAAAAAAGGGGCCCAATCCTACGAAACTTTCCATGAGAAGGTAGTGATTTTTGTAAATAAATGAAGTGGAACCAATATGCTCGTGAATAAAAAAGGAAGGCACGCACACGCAAAAAAGAATGACATTGCTAAAAATGCTTTAAATATTAATGAAATTCAAAGTTTTTACACAAAGAGGTATCACGCAACACGGGTAGACAAATATATATCGATATCCGTAATAGAGCTTGAAACATCCAGTACATAAAAAAAAAATAGATCATATTTAATTATACCGTGAAAACGATTGTTAATTTTGTGCTAAAATGCTTTGAATCCAAATTAGAATAAAAAGAGCAGCTTCGCGAATATCTTTCTGAAGATTAATGGCGCGTGGTAAAATTCGTTAATTAACTTTTTAATTAGTGGAAATAGACATATCGTTCCCATTAGAAACTTGTTGAGCGTCATTCAAAACCCCTAAATCAGTAATTTTTATAAAGACTTTGAGCGCGTGAGTGCACTAAAGTTACTTAGTGCACTAAAGTTACCACTTGTGGAGCACGTACAAGGCTAGCGTTTGCGGTAAGGCGCCCGCGCGATTTTTCCGTCTCTCTAGCCCCAGCCGTGTACCTGCTCCACGAGCGGTAACTTCAGCGCACTACTGAGCTTCTCACGCGCTCAAAGTGTTTCTAAAAATTACTGATTTAGGGGTTTTGGATGACGCTCAGCAAGCTTCTAATTGGAACCATATGTCTATTTTCATTAATTAAAAAGTTATATTGGAAGAGAAGCGCAAAATTAAACTCACTCACGCTGAAAAACTCACTCACGCTGAAAAACCACTCACGCGTGAGTGAGTTTAATCTTGCGCTTCTCCTACAATATGAATATCCAACTCGGCCAAGCATCCATTTGAAAAAGTTAATTAACGAATTTTAATTAATTAGCCGATTTGTCTCAAAGATTAGCCACCCACATAATGTCCGCCTGGCTGTATAACCCACCTGCACAAACCGCATTAGTGTAGCTTTCACGTTTTTTTAAAACAAATGTCTAAGAATAAAAAAAAAAAAAACACCCTGTATATATATATACACACGTTTTGTGTACGGCTCAGCAGTGTCCCTATGGGGAGGAGTGGTTCCCTAGATCTCTTGGAAGACGGGCCCTTCCCGACATTTGCAAGCTGAGATGACGTGCCACGTCACTGCCGCATGTCGGAAATAGCGCGGGCCTTAAATCAGCCACGGTTGTCGTCTACCCAGTTAAGCGAATTCGAAACTAACAGTACACAGAGGGCTGGTCAAAAATTATGTCCGCCTTAACCAGTGGCCAGGATGGTCCAAGCGGTTTCGGCGTCGCCCCCGGATAGGGGAATTTTGCGGGTTCGATACTTGCTCGTGGCCCCTTTTCTTCGCAAGCTTTCTTTCCCTTTTCCTTCCCCCTAACATTAATGAAATCAATTCAATAATCCCTTTCTCCTCTCTTCGTTCACATTATTATTACGGCTGCACTAGTTAATCTTCCCTCACTCCCATTATATACAGTATGATTGGAGTGAGAGAAGATACATAATCGAGAATCAATTTTATTTGGTGCCGAGGAACCACCTTGGTGTCTTGGTGCTGGCACACCGATACTTACACACACAACAAATTAAACACAAACCTGACGACACGAAAACACAAACACCACGAATACATTGACCATACATTTATGTACACACCCCGTTGCACACCGAGTAAAAGACTCAGTCCGTAGTGCACGGCATGAGCAACAAGGCAGCGGCGTAGATTTTGCATTTTCCCCGGGGGGGGGGGGGGGGGGGGGGGGTTGGGGGGGCAGGCTGAGAAGTTCTCCCGGGGGGGGGGGGGGGGGGGGGGGGGGGGTGCGCGTTACCTTCTCGCCAGAACTGGAGATTGAAGCTAACGAAAGCACGCTGGGATTCCGTTTCCTATGTATTTTGGCAATAAAGGCAACGTGGGCGTTATTTTGTTTCCATGCCACTACTAGAAGCTCGTTACATATGGCACGTAAACAGCGTCTCAGTAAAGATCATAACGCGGGCCCGGGTCTGCCCCCCCCCCCCCCCCCCCCCCCCCCCAGATCTCACCAAAGGTGCATGAGCCCCGATGCCCCCCCCCCCCCCCCCCCCCCCGTAGTCTACGCCTATGCAACAAGGGATGATTGGCTGCCGCACCCTGACAGTAGTGTATTACATGATAACACAAAACGTCCTAGACGTTAGTGGTCTTCGAGACAGAGAAAAAGAAATATCCATTTTAACTCCTGCAGAACAAAGCAAATATACTTCATATCGTGGTAAAAAAGAGAAACAAACTGCGCAGGCAGTACATGTTTAGGCTATCAGTTCAACTAATCCGTGTTGCCTGTCTCTGTCCCGACTCGAACACGTGTGCCATCTGCTCATCAAAGTTCTGACGGCACGAGTTAAAAATATCAAGTTCTTAGGAGTAACACTCTACAAATCGACTTGCTGGGTTGTGTCGACTAAGGTTTATAGCGATTTGAGCCTGACACCCGCGGCGCCCTGATACGCACTTCAGACGAGAGACCCGGATAATCAATAAAACCATGCGGAGTTTTGAAATAGAACAACAAGTCTACTTTCTTCCGACATTGATGTCGGGAGAAAGCAGCTTTCAAAATTGATCCCATTAAATCACGCACTGACCTGTTTATGTTTCCACCACTCCCTTTTGCCATAAAGGAATGGAATAGTCTCCCCAGTGATGTGGTAGTTTTATGTGACCCGATATTGTTTAAACAGAGTCGCGAAGAGTTGTTTTGTTTACCTGCTATTCCTTGATGGTTTCTGTATTATTGTTAACTTCAGTGTTCGTACTGTTCGAGTTCCACAATGTGTGTGCAATTCATTGCGCGTTTTCCTCTTTAGTACACTTTGACATTTTTGCGGTTGCCATGGTCAATAAGTTTGTTTTTGTAGCATGAGCTACACTGGCCAAGGTTGAGCAGTTTCGCGTGGCTCCTAGGGAGCCGTGCTGTGCATGCGCGAGGAGCAGTGACGTCACACGGCGCTCAACCGGCGCTCCGCCGCCGCCGCGCGCGCCTCGCCGGTTTGCGCATTCCAGAGGAGTGACGTCATAGCCACGGCAGACGCATTGGCGCCGGCGCGTGCCCAGCTGTGCGCCTCCGTTGCGCATGTAGCCAAGTCTGACGCTGCAACGGAGCCGCTTGATAGCGCCTCTCATTTTGTGCGCATGCGCAGAGTTATCAGTGGGGGTATACACACACCGGGGCGTTTGCCAGTGTGGTATAGACATGGAGAAGGAGAGCGAAATTGCTGCTCAGCGGCGCAGAAGAGTGGAGAAGCTTAACTCATCGGATTCCGAAGCAGTTGCCTGGCAATTAGCGACTGAGCGCAGGAAGAACGAACAGAAGGCTAAACGTGCTGCAGAGAAACCGAAGCAAAGAAAGGAACGTCCAGCAAAGCGGCGTCGCCAGGAGGCTGAGCGACGTGCTCGGCCGCTCGCGCTACGTATATCCTGGCATAGCCGAGCTAAGCCACTGCAATTTTTATCAGAGTTTCTCATATACGTATAAGTCACGACTTCTCCCCCATTCTTCTCATTCCCCACTCATGTAAT